AAGAGGGGAAGCTAAGATAAAGGGTAAGAATGCTGGGCATCAGACACAGAACTAAAAAAGGTCATATGGCCCAATCCCTGTGTTTTAGAGATAAGGAAAGGAGGTCCAGAGGGGTTAAGTAATGCGAGCACTTGGGGTCAGCCAGTGGCTCCCTTGTCAGAGACTGGCCCTGCTCTAGGCCATCTCTGTGGCTTCACAGTTTGCTCATTCAACAACAGATAAGCTCACAAGGAAAGGCCAGCCGCTGTTATCTGACTGTTTGGGTGGTGGCTGTGGGCCACTGCATTGCTGAAACTTGGCATGTGCAATCACAGATATGATATGGAAAACATTCCCTTGGGGATGTGTGAGAACATCATGCTTTGACAACCCCAGGCCCCAAAAGTTTAACCTGCTAACCATTCATGTCACTGACATTTCCTGAGCGCTTACTAGGTACAAGGCACTCATGTAGCCTCTCTGTACAGAGAGGAGAAAGATGTGACTGTTAGCCCTGGAGGAACTTATGCCGTGGTAATGACAAAAGACATCCCACTGCAGAAGCAGCTGGGTGTTCTATACAGGAGGCAGCTTTGTTATTGCCCTTACAAGAGCTTATCACATCCAGGTAGGTGAGCTAAAGCAAGGCCACTTGGGACCTCAGTGTAGTAAATCTTGGACACCAAGGCTCAGGTAGGGCTCTGGAACTTACCACAAGAACGAGGTTCTCTTTCTGGGCCTCTCCAGCTGGTAGCATCAGGGCTACCCTAGGCAGTCCCACTTGGGGACCTGGCATGGTTGCTCCCAGAGTCCTGGAGTCCCACAACTCCCATGTGCCACAGAGAGTTTGAGCCTGAGGAACATAAGCCAACACCACTGGTGCTGGCTCTGGAGGTTTCGCTTTAACCCTTGTCTCCATGTCGTAAGGTAGAGAGAATTGGCTTCCTCAGCCAGGGCTCAGGGATGCTTGGGAAGCAAACGAGCTCACAGGACTGGTTAGCCATTGAGACTTGAACTCAGGCCCCCGCCCCAAATCCTGATCTTGTGATACTGTCACCTCTGCTTTTTCCCTCTTCAGGTTAAAAGCCAAAATTAGGCTGAAAAATTCCACTACCTGTTCCCTCAGAGGCCGGACGACATGTTAGGTCTCATAAAACTGAATTGAAAAGTAAAGGGGGAGGAAACCTGTTAGAGAAATGACTGCTACCGTGGGAATGATACCCAGCCCAGCCCTTTCAACCCCCTCCATGAGACAGGTCCTAGTGAGAAGAAAAGTATGGGTTCATGTGAGGCAGCCCCTGTCACAAGAGGGTCTGAGGGCCCCATGGTGGGCCTCTGGTCCCACAATACCCACACCTTGTCTAGTGGCCTGAAAGGCTTTTAATGATCAAGATGTAGAAGGCTTTGCCGGGGGTCTCTGCTGACTGTGCTTTAAAACAAATTGTCTTGGAAGAGGATATCAGATACAGCCCATCGGGAAGACAATGGATTAAGTATCTGAGGGACAAGAGGGCACCCTCAGAGGGGCAAAGATGAAAGCTAAGGTAACAGAGCAGCCAGGCCTACTGGTAGTTGACCAGTAAGCTATCGCAAAGAAAGAAGCGTTTCCACAAACATGCACTGAAGTCATGGGACTTCAAAGATGAGGAAGAAAGCCCCAGTCCTGCCTGATGCCCAAGAGCTTTGGATCTGCAGGCTCATGTGAAATGTGGGTTTTGGCAGCTGTGCATTTACTAGAGAGGGCAACTTGCCTTTCATGCACTGTCAATAGTCTTCCTTTTGTGGTTGGAGTGCTAGTGGCTGAGGTCTCGCCAGTGGTCCCTAATGGGGAGTCCAGGCCGACCACACAATATTTCTCCCTCCAGGTGTCCCCTGTTGGTTCCTATTATCTCTCCTGCTCGAGAACAAGTAACTCCCAGAGACTCATTTGGAAGTTTGCTGGGAAGAAAGACTAGAACCTGCAGGGTCATGACCCCAGAAGGAGGGCATCATGGAAATCAGATCGTAGAATGTGCATGTGGGTAAACCTTTCCCACTTTTAAGGGACGACTGACAAGTGGATCTTTACTTCCCTGGACCTCAGGTGGTTGGTTCATTTTTCAAGGGAGAGAACCGTACTATTGGAAGATCTCAGAGTTTCTTTCCAGCTGTGTTTCCTTGATGCAGCCGTTCATGGGCAGCTCTGCCTGTCATCCTAGAGACCCATGGTTCTCACTCCAGGCCCTGGCTTAACAGCACCTTCCTTGGAACTTGTCTTATGCCTTTCATGTCTGAATGTAGCACCTTGCTCAGACAAGATCCTTAATAAATGTTTGTTTGATGAAACCATCCAAGACTCTTGAGTTATAGAGTGACTTGGCAGTCAAAAGTAACAGTGTCGGGTGCCTGGGTGGCTCAGTTGGTTAAGCGACTGCCTTCAGCTCAGGTCATGATCCTGGAGTCCCGGGATCGAGTCCCGCATCGGGCTCCCTGCTCGGCAGGGAGTCTGCTTCTCCCTCTGACCCTCCTCCCTCTCATGCCTCTGTCTCTCATTCTCTCTGTCTCAAATAAATAAATAAAATCTTAAAAAAAAAAAAAAAGTAACAGTGTCCCAGAACTTATTTCAGAGAAAGGAAGAAGGGTATTTATACCAGGTAAGAGAAGGCTCAGAGATGGGAGAGGAGGAAGCAAACCTTTCCTGTGAGGCCTGTGGGGAAGAAACAGCCAAGCTGGGGAAATATGGGGGAGGCATGAGGGAGAGCTCCCAGATAGGATGTCTGTGGGTCAGTGAGGAGTCAGAATGTTGGTGCAGAGAGCCAAGAAATAAGTCTGAATGAGGATGAATTTGGAACCCTTGCAATCAACTAGAAGCAAGGAAAGGCTTAGCAAGGAACTGATGTCATGAAAACTGAATTGAAAAACAGCTTGGCAACAGTGCGCAGGATGGATTGAAAGGGAAGGTCTGAGAAGAAGGGTCTCGGGAAGGTTGCAACAGGGAGTAAAATCTGAATGAATGCGGAAACTGCAAACCCAGGCAACAGGCTTGTAGTGAGCATATACAAAGTAAAGTCCAGGACCCTATTCTGGGAGTGGGATATAGTCGTGAAGGAGAAAGACACAGATCTTTGGCCTTGGAGAACTCACCTTCTAGAAGGAGAGGTAACAAAAGGAGGGAGAGAACTTTTAAGAATGAATGCCTCATTTTATTCTGTAAGGGACTCACAGGGAGAACCAAGGTAGTTGGGTCATATTTCTCTGTGAGTGGGGACGTGAAGGAGGGACAGACCAGGTGTAGTGAAGAGAAGGAAAGGAAGGGCAGGCTTGGCACCTGGCCCTCAGACCCAGGGTGGCTGGGTCCTCTGGACAGGTCTCCCCCATACTGCAAGGTAGGATTTGGTAGGATCTGGCCAGGCCGGGTGGCACTCCTGCAAGGCTGAGGCCTGCTTCACCATCCTGCAGAGGGTCAAGTCTGTAGCAGGACATCTGGAAGACCCTCCTGGCACTGCAGGGCCTGCAGTGTATCCCGAACCCAGAGTACCAGGACACCCAAGCTCTGCAGTGTCCCCAGCAGCCTTTGCCCTGCACTGGTGGGTGTAGGACTGGCATTTCCTCATCCTGAGGTCGTGGGGCAGTAAGTGAAGGTGTTAGGATACCCGTGGTTCCACACAGCACAGAAACACAGATCTGGTTCCTGTTTGGTACCAGGATCCATGTGGGATGCCCAGTGAGTGAAGAGTAGAGACCGCTTGGCAAACAAATGCCTGGAGCCCCAAGCATTTGAGATGGCACTTGAAGGAACATGGCACTTGAGGGCTATGCGTATGTGTATGTGTGTTTGGGGGTGTGTGGGAGGTATTCCTGGCACAGAGGACATATAAGCATCCCCTATGAAGTTCTAGGACCTTCCTACATCCCTATACCACCACTCAAAGACCTCTGTTCAACCAACCTGTCTGTGCGGCCCATTAGAATGTTCTACTGAACAGGAAAACCCAATGTGCAAGTAGGAAAGAATTGGAAAGAACCTTTCCAGCTGTGATATTTGAAGTTCTGAAAAGCTTACTCCTTTAAAGGAAGTCATTCTGAATAGCTTAGGAATGAACGTAAATAGCTTAGGATTGAAAAGTCCCTGAATGTAGAGACCAAATAAATCCCATAATAGGCATCAAAATGGCATGATTGAGAGCATCAGCTCTGTACTGGGTGTTGTAAGTGATGAATCACTAGATTCTACACCTACAACTAATGATGTTACATTTTATGTTAACTGGAATTTAAATAAAAATTTGAAAACCAAAGAGCATGCGTTCCAGAGACAGACTACATGGACTCTAATCCCAGCTCTGCAACAAACAAGCTGGGTGCCCCACTTATCACACTTCGGTTTCCTCATCTGTAAAATGGGGATCCTCTTACTTAGCTCAGGGTGGTTGTGAATATGAATGACTTAGTATTTGTAAAGCAATTGGAACAATGTCTGACACATAGTAAGTTCTCTGTAAGCATTAAAAAAAAAATTCTCACACTCTTTGGGACATCTTTAGGACATACTTTTGAGAAAGATGAGGAACCAGGCTTCTAAGCCCTATTAAACATTTAGATATACAGGCAGTCTTTGCTTTACACAGTAGTGCAAGACCATAATAATGACCATAAGAATTGAAACTGGGTAAAAATCGAGAGAAAAGGGCTCCTGGGTGGCTCAGTTGGCTAAGAGTCTGCCTTCAGCTCAGGTCGTGATCCCAGGGTCCTGGGATTGAGCCCCCACATCAGGCTCCCTGCTCAGAGGGGAGTCTGCTTCTCTCTTTCTCCTTCTGCCTCTCCCCCTGCTTGTGCTCTCTTGCTCTGTCTCTCAAATAAAATCTTAAAAAAAATCGAGAGAAAAAAATACAAGCGTTCCATGACCTTTAAAATTTTTGTTGAAACATTAAAAACTCTCATACTACAGGTTTTAAGTGTATATGGAAATGAAAAAAATAATAAGACCTATATCATAATACACTGTAAATATTAGAAACACTGCAATTCTTAAAAGTGTTTTATTTGTTTGTAAAAAAAAAAATGAGAGTATTTGAATATCTCTTGCTGCCATCTCCTCCTTGTGTAACTTATGATATGGACGGAGCATCTTTTCTAAGCCTTGGTGAATCGTCATACTCCTTTATAAATTTGTGTCAGCTTCCAACATGTTATTCTTTGTGACTTCAATGCTGCGAAATATCTCTGAGAGTTATTTTATTTTATTTTTTCTAAAATTTTTTTTCTGAGAGTTTCTTTAATGTGAAGTTTTCTGCCAGGATCACTTCCTCTGGTGCATCTTCCTCCTTTTTGTCTCAACCACCTTCTTCACTTACACCTTTAGCATTGGTTTCAAGTTTCGTCAATATCAACAGAAACCTTGAGGATCCTGGCTGTCATAAAGTTCCAGGGAGTTTATTCAGAATGATGTAATGGTGGTTCCTTGGTTTAAGCCTCTGCCTTTGGCTCAGGTCATGATCCCAGGGTCCTGGGATCCAGCCCCACATCCAGCTCCCTGCTCAAAGGGGAGCCTGCTTCTCCCTCTCTCTCTGCCTGCTACTCCCCCTGCTTGTGCTCCCTCTCTCCGTGTCAAATAAATTAAAAAATAAATAAAATAAAATTAAGATCTCACATAGATCAGGGGGGAAATGTAATTACATACTTTTTAAGAATCTGATAAAAGTTCTTTCCCTCTAAAAGTTCAGGTGAGCAGATACAATACTTTATGCAGCATTTCAGGGAGTTCACAGAGCAACCAAAATCCAATTAGAAGCCCTGGTTAAGAATCTAGAACTATTCCTAGATAAAATCCTGCCAAAATCTGTTTCAGAGCCATTATAAGTCCTGAAAACTCAGGTCACTTTCCAAGGGAGGGTAATCCTCAGAGCAGTCATCTGCCACCAGAACCACATTGAATGGTCGCTCTTGCCTTGCTATGCAAGTTTATTCAGTCTAGGTCTCTTCAACAAACCATCATCCCTGAAACTCTCCTCTGTGAGTATTGGTCTTAGAAAACCTTACTGAAAAGACAGACTCAACATTACATTGTTGAGAAACATGACAGAACCAGCAAATCAAACTGAAAATTGTCTTGCACAGGAGGTTAGCTGCTGTGGGCAAAGCATGAGTGGACCTGAGCCTATTGCTGGTGGCATTCTACTCTTTCTGTCCTTTGTTTTCTTCCTCCCCCCCCCATTCCATCTCGTTCTCCTCTCCCTGGAATCTCCGTCTCTCATTCTTCTCTCCTACTACTTCTGACATTGGCCCCCATGAGTACTGCTTCATCCAGCCTGTGGTGCAAAAGATTTTAAGCCTTATTCAAGCCAATAGAGAAAAGATCGTCCTGAGTGAGTCACGCTGAATTCAACAAACAACCCAATAGAAGTCTCTGAGGATACCTCGACAATGCCCAAGCAACTATTCTTCCTAGAGAAACTTACTCTTTGGGGGAATTAATTTTGAGCAAGGAAGGGGGTTAGGGATTACTTTTTAAAAAATTGATTTGGCATCAAGAGAAAAAGATTGCCTAAGCAATATCTGCTGATGAAGTCACAGAAAGGCTCCACCTCTGGAATGAGCTTCATTTTCTTGTATTTTGGTAAGAAATTTGATTCTCAATTGGGAATTCAGCCACTCTACCCACTCAAGGGCAAGATGATAAGGTTCTATCAAACCAAGCGTCTAAACGAACCTGAGACTCTACCAAGGTCAGAAATGCTGTACTTCAAGCCAAAAGATCTCTCTTTGGCTTGCTTGTTTTGACTTGTAACCACAAGTTTGTCTTGTCTAGGTGTCCAATCACATTATAAAACAAACGCTGATTTCTGCACTACAGCATCCTCTGAAGCAACAGGAGTCCTGGATGTATACTTTGGGGGATTCTCTAATTTTTGTTTTGCTCCTCTGATTTCCACAGGACTCTAAGTTTTTTCTCTTGAGATCAAGGAATAAAAGATGGTTTTGGAAATGCTGAACCCAATGCATTATAACATCACCAGCATGATGCCCGAAGTCATGCCTGTGGCCACCATGCCGATCCTGCTGCTCACTGGCTTTCTTCTTTTGGTTTGGAATTATGAAGACACATCCTCAATACCCGGTAAGTCAGTCATTTAGTTCTGTAACTAAGGAGATTGTTTACTTGGGCTTTTGGTCCATGAGGGTAAAGAAAATTTTGCAAAAGGACAAAGAGCAAAAACATGGTGAAATGGCTGAAGCCCATGGCAATGTTAGCAAATAAAAACTCAGGTGAAAAACTTTATACCAATTAGCTGCACATTTCAAATGAAAGCATTTCAAAAAAATATCTTAGATAATCCCGTCCAGTCTGTGCTTTGCTTTGGTAGACTTGGCATGAGTATCCTTCAAAGTAAGTTTGAAAAAAAAAAAAAGTAAGTTTGAGATGGGGTGAAGCAAGGTAAACCAGGCATTTTTTTTTATTATTATTGAAATTCATTCCAATGTTGCTCTGAAGGTAAAAATGTCTCTGGAATGCCTTCTTTTTTTTAAGATTTTATTTTTAAGTAATCTCTACATCCAATGTGGGGCTTGAGCTCAGAACCCCAAGATCAAGAGTCACGCGCTCCATTGACTGAGCCAGCCAGGCACACCCGGAATGCCTTCTATACTCCTCTCCTTCTCCCTGCTGCTTTACCTCATCCGTGTGCTCCGCCCTCTTCCTTTCTTGAACTTATTTCCTCTCTTCATCCCACTCTTCATTTTCTCTTATTCTTGGGGGTAGGTGTGATGGTGATGCCACCATAAGAGCTGGCTGGGACCTGGGCACTGGAAGAAAAATGGAGACCACTATGGTTCCCTTGGAACATCATACCCTGATAGAATCTTCAACAAGGTCTGTGGATTAATCAAAAGTAGAGTATCATATAATTATCCAGATAATTCCAATAGAAACCCCTACCACTCTACAACTATCAGATTAATTCAGAATTACCAGAAATATCCAACTATTTCTTCAGTTTTCAGTGAAAATTCTTCATGGCAAGCATCTATCCCCAGTCCCATGAGCCATCCAACAAGGCTTTACTTCAAGAGCATAGTCATTATGCACTTCCAAGTGCAGTGGACCTCATCATAGAGTGATTTAGGGTAGGAATGTGAAGCTGGTGCAAAGTGTCCCGTGTCTGGATTCTTCCAAAATTTTCCAGAGAACTGTCTGTCCTGTCTATCTGATTCAGCCTGGTATTTTAGGTTGCTTTCATGTCCACTTAAACAGAGAGGTCAGTTAATGTTGTTCTCTAATCCCTGAGGGGTCTGAGGGAAGACTCTTTCATGGCCTTTAACTTGAGCTCCTTCCCACTACAGCTCCTTCCTCACTGGATCTCTTCTCCCACAGTGGGCTCCCAGGTCAGGATCCATGAATGGTGGGTGAGGTGGAGGGTATTTTATAACAAGTCCCCCCAGATGTTTATGTTGCAAGTTTTAGAAGAAGTCCCTTGGACCTTTGAAAAAGGAGGTCAGCCTATGGGGGGGCAAGCACAAGAACTGGCATCCCTGAAGCTTTGGATCTGGAGCCTAGGTGACAGCTTAGTCTGTCCCCCAATCCTGTGCTGGGGACATCATGCTGCCATACACTAATAGTTCTATGGTTCTCAGCTATGTCTGGAGCAGGGCCCGCATGTTGATATTAAAAAAAAAAAAAAAATTCTGGGGCACCTGGGTGGTTCAGTTGGTTCAGCATCTGACTCTTGATTTTGGCTCTTGATTTTGGCTCAGTTCATGACCTCAGTATCATGAGATTGAGCCCGCTCAGTGTGCTAGGCTTGGAGCCTGCTTAGGATTCTCTCTCTCCCTCTGCACTGCTCCCCCCAACTAAAAAAAATAAAATAAAAAAATCTTCCCAGGTGATTTTTCATTAGCAGTCAGGATTGAGAGCCATAGATATGAGCCCAACCCCTTCACTTGACGGAAGGGGAAACTGAGCCCCAGAGAGGTGAACTGCCTTACCCAAGCAAACCCCTATGACAAATATAAGAAACCATGGAGTTCAAACCCTTCATTTCTCTGGGTTAAAGCCCAGAGAAAGGAAATGGCTTATCGGCATCTCAGCTTGAAAGGAAAGGCAGGGGAGGGGAACAACCAGGAATTCCTAAATCCCAGGTTGGTGATCATTTTGCTAGCCAGGGAGCTTCTAGTTCCATGCTTTCCCTTTGAAAATGTGAGCTCTGGTCAGAATCCTCTAGTGGCACAGACTAAGGTCCCATGGTGCCCGGCTAGGGAAGGAAAGGTAAGAAAATTGGCTTTGTTGGGGTGGTTCTTCCTGAACTCCTTTTGCCAGTTTCCTCAAATCACTGGTTCTCTGGATTCTTGGTTTTACAGATTTGTGGGAAGCTCAGGGTCAGGGAGTGTCAAGGGGAGTTAAGAAGTTGCAATGATTTAAAAGCCCTTAAGTTAGTTACAATTTACAAAGCAGTTTCACATTCTTTCTCTCTTGTGATCCTCATAGCCCTCTGATGAGGTAGGTGTGTTTATGCCTATTTTGCAGATGAAGAAACTGAGATTAAAGAGGATCGATGGTGCATAGCTAGTGAGTGATGAAACTGGGACTCAGAGCTAAATCTCTTGAGCCATCCCCAGCTTTGCGCATGGATTCCCTCCCCCAGAGCCTCTCTCTGCCCTGGGCACCATGTCCCCAGAGGGGTCAATGGAAAAAGGACATGGCAACACATTCCCCTTTCTCCCACTAAAAAAACGACTTCACAGAAAAGTGTACAAATAAATATGTCATCACAGTACAGGACACGAAACAGGATGTTAGCAGGATCCCAGAAACTTCTCTTGTGTCTTTTCAGTCATACCCCCTCTCACCTCCAGAGGTAAACATTCTTCTAATTTGTGATAATCACTCCCTTGTTTTTATAGTTTTGCCACCTAATTTCATATCCCTGAGCAATACAGATTAATTTTGCCTGGTTTTAAATGTTTTAGCCATCGAGTCCTACATTACTTCTATATTGCTTCTTTTGCTCAATATTGTGCTTGCAAACTTCATCCATGGAGTGACATGCCTCTATAGCTCATATGGTATGCAGTAGCACAAACATCTCGTGGTTTAATTACTGATGCTACTGTTGGTGGACCTTTGGGTGTCTCTAGTTTGGGACTATTGTGAACAGTGCTGCTATGAGCCTTCCCGTTCACAGGTTTCTCTAGGGTGTACACCTACCAGGGAAAGCAACAGCTTCTTGATTAGGACAGTGGGTGAGAGGTCCCAGCTGTTGGCTTCTGGGAGGCTGTTTCTGCACAAAAATGCAGTGTAGTATTTATCGCTCCTCTTAGGGTGTAAAAGAGGTGCCTGCAATCGCTGTAGGCCTAAATCAGCATTCCCAAATCTGAGAGGCAGAGAGCAGCTTAATGAGGATGCAACCAGAATATTTCTCGAATATCCTACCAAAGTTTCTCCCCTCCTAGGACATTCTTTTCTCAGCTGGAAGGTGTAAGGTACACATATAAATGAAAGGATCACATTGTGTTACAATAATTCAATATTGTACTTTCTCCTCCCCCATACTCTCCTCTCCTGCCCAGGACTCTGATTGGGAACCTATTTATGCTTATCACTCCATCTCCAGTCTCTGACTCGTAGCTAGTGTCTAAACCTAGTAGGGTCTCAGTAAGTGTTTGTTGGATGAATTAAGCTGACACATGATTGATCACTAGGGACCCAAGACTTGGATTCTCTTCTGGTCAGAACACTCAGGTTTTCAACCTGAGCAAATTTCATCACCATCTCCCTTTTTCAGTGGATAGAGATCTGCACTGTCATATTTTAAACTTGAATGGTGGTTCCTTAATATTAAGACTTTCTACATGGCACCAAACTATTAGATAAAAAATGAAGAGTGCAACCTTTCATTTGCATGTCTTTGTTCCTCATGGGCCTAGCATATTAAGTAAGTAAACGTTTGTTGAATGAGTCTATTCCCAAATAGCCGGATGTCTGACCTCCCATAGACTAAACGTACATGATACAATGATATTTTTCCATTTTATCAAAATGTAAATACAACCTGAAATACTCTAAATGTGGATGATATTTAAAACTTCATCCTTTATATTACACACACATATCTAATTAATTTTAAAAATTCACCAGGAAACACTTATTAGGCATCTACAATGTTTCAAACTGTAAATACCCAGCAAAGTAGTTTGTTATTATGCACATTTTAATTGATTAGAGATCTGTATATCTGATGACCTTTTAAGGAAATACATATTCAAATTTGCTTGTTTTAATCTTTTAAAGAACTTAATGAAATTATTAGGTATAAAATCAGTCATCTACTTACAATACAGTGTTTTCGGAACAATCAGAAGATTAAGAAGAACCCTTTGAAAACGTTTGGTTCTATAGATATTACCAAAGACCTTCACTTTAAATATTTTATTGATTTATTTGTCAGAGAGAGAGAGAGAGAGAGTGAGCACAAGCAGGGGGAGTGGCAGGCAGAGGAAGAAGCAGGCTCCCCGCGGAGCAAGAAGCCCATGGTGAACTCAATCCCAGGACCCTTGGATCATGACCTGCGCTGAAGGCAGACGCTTAACAACTGAGCCACCCAGGCATCCCAAACGACCTTCACTTTAAGGAAAAAAACCTGACAGTCTTATTCCCATTAATCCAGCTATTTCAAAGGATTAAATCTTATTTGACGAATTTGGGATTTAACATCCAATTTAGATGGTTTAAGCAAAAGCTTAGCTTATCTAGATTTATTTACACAGTGCTTGCCCCTGGAGTGAGAACACTGTCTCAAACAGTCGTGCATGTTGGCTTCCTATTTTACTACTGGAATGGAAAGAAAGGAGAAAGATTTGATATAGAAAAGCTACTACTTCACAGGAAAACTCCTAAAACCATTCCAAGAAGTTTTTGTCTAACTTTTTACAGCCACCAGTATAATCAAGCTACCAAGTTTGTTCTCTGGTCTAAGCAACAGAAAATTCCTCCGTTCTTTATGTAAGCAAGGACATGAGCGGTCACTGCTCTTGAGTAAAACCACATTGCTGGACCCAAATTCTAGTCCAGACACTGACTGGACTCATTGCCTAATTTCTCAATGCTTAGCTGTATGTTTTGCCTAATGAGACTAAGCTTAGGATTATTCTCTTAAACTGAGTCCTTTTTGAAGGAAAAAAAATGGATATTCTTTGTTTGAACATTATCTTCGCAGACCGTGTCTTTCAGTTAAAAAGATTACACCAAAACTACAACCTAATTTTAACCTGCCCATTCCATCAGCTGGGGCATTCAAACCAAAAGTTTTCAGACAAAACTAGGCAGCCAAACAGATCGGTCAGCTTGTCACATGTCCTGGTTTCCATGCTTGTAACTAGATGGACTGACTGACTTGTATTGAAAACTCACTGACATTGTTTAATGTGGCAAGAAAAGAGCAGACACCTACCCTGGCTCATTCAGACTGAAAGGTTCAAGACCAAATAGAACTAGTGTGGTATGGACACTGAACTACTGTTTTTTCATGTTAAGCTTGTTTGTTTTTTTTAGAGATTCACAGATATACATCAGAAGGTATCCAAGACCTTTTAGATATCAAAGAACACAAGCAGCGATAACATAAAACAGTTGCTCTTTTTTGGTGTTTGCTAAAATGCTGACTGTGGTCTGATAACTCTCCTAGGTCCTGGCTATTGCATGGGAATTGGGCCCCTCATTTCCCACTGCAGGTTCCTGTGGATGGGCATTGGCAGTGCCTGCAACTACTACAACAAGATGTATGGAGAATTCATGAGAGTTTGGATATGTGGAGAGGAAACACTCATTATTAGCAAGTGAGTCTGTTAATAATCAGAGACAGGTTTTCAAAACCAAGGCTGTGTTTTTTTCCTATTAAGTAACACACTTATTTTGATATCTTGATGCTTTTGTTGCTAAGGCTGTGTTTTTACTTCCGAGGTAAAAATCTAACCTATAGACAAGCGGAATCATTGGGTCCTGCCTAAACCCAGAGGTACATAGATAAAGAACTCTGGAAAGCTGGGAAACTATTTGAAATTTCTCTGAGCGGTGAATAGAAACTTAGAATCCAAAGGATTTGGGTTTGACAAAACGTATTTTAGGGAGGGGCATTATCTTTTCTGCTTTCCTAAGATTTTGGTCTTATCTCTATTAGCAAGCAGTTAAAACAAAACGAAACACCAGAGAGAAAGGAATCTGCACCAGTTTGCTAATGGGCTTCTCTAATGGCAGGCTCCGGAGCGCCTCCAGAAGGGTAAACGGTAGAAAAAGATGCTATTCATATGCTCCTGTTCTATTTATGACTGTGGGCTGGTGTCTCAGCTGAGTGATCTTAAATACATTGCCTATTTAAAAAAAATGATTTGTCGTATTTTCTGGATAAGTTTAGCAGATTGAATTCATCCAGGGTTAATCAAATAGGCATCGAATGTAGAGAACTAGCTTTGTGAAATACTAGTTTTCTTATTTATTGATCATAGAAAATGGAGAATTTCAAAGAGAACACATTTCACTAGACTTTCAGCTGTCTTTACTGGATATTTAACAATGTTATATGCCAACACTGTCTCATTAATGAGTTTTTATATTCCCTGACAGGACTTTACCCACAAACCAAGACCAACTAGGGTTTTACTGATATGTTAGAATTTTTTTGTCCAGATGCAGACTATTGCCCAGAAGTAAGTGAAGCATTTCTGGAAACTACATTGATTTCTTTCAAGCCAAGATTACATACATCATTTCATAAAATACCATGGTAATCTCAAAGGCCAATTCTTTGAACCAAATAACTGACAGAAGGGAGTGGGGGACCAATAATTGCCCTTGGATTTTACTTCTCTTGAGCTACTTTGGTCAGCCAAATTTAGGTGAATTTGATTAAGTACTCATTTTAAACATCAATACTTTACTCTCTTTGGCAATGGTCTACAATCTCAAAATGTCCTGGGACTGGTGACATGAGGGCTTGGGGGCTTGAGACGTTTGCCACTGCTCTTTCATCCACCAGCATAGTGAGTTGCCTTCCAGCCCTCATCACAGATAGGTGAAGTGACCTGCGGGATATTTTTCTAAAAGGATATCCGTCTACAGCTCAGGACCTAAAGCGGTGGTTCTCACCCTGGCTCCACATTGAAGTCACCCAGGGAGCTTTTAAAAACCCCAATGCCCAGGCCACACCCCAACTTTCAGAATCTCTGGGGGTGGAACCTGGGCATCAGGTGTTTGTAGAGCTCCCCAAGTAATGCCAATGTGCTGCAGAGCCTGAGAGAGAAGAACAGGTGAGCAGCTTCTGGCACCAGGGGGCCTTGTCTTGGGGTCAGGGGAGCAGCTAAGCAGGGTTGGAGTGCTTTTGTCTGATCATCTTACCCTGCAGTCTAGCTCAAGTGGTGGTAGTATAAGACAAGAACTGGAGTGAAGAATGTGACAAAGGACCAGAGGACGAGAACAGAAATCGCTCTTAGATACTACATACTTGGATCACTAGATCCAATCCTGGAAGCCCAAAGCCATTCCTAAAGTAGGATCCTTGTGACAGTGCAGGGTAGCATCTGACGGCTCTGCTGTCTTCATTAAGAAAGTGACCTTAGTGACCCTGACCAATTCAGGTGCTGATTCATGCTTGAGATGAGCCCACAACCCAACCCACCCTTCCCCCAGCTCTCCCAGTTCTCTCCTCATCCTGTCCTCACAGGCTTTTCACTGGTTAGAGTCTTTATGTTCTCCTTAATTGCCTCTGAGCCACTCAATTTTGTTGTTAAGGGCTGAGCTCCCTGCGGGGAATAGGACATGTTTGTCTCCATCTCCTTCCATTGCCTGCTCTTCAGGTCCCTTCCAGAACTACCCGTGCCTCTTGAAAATAGCCCCTCGGAAAGCTTTTTATTTTTAGTTGAATAGTTTGCCAGGTTTTTTTCTTTTGAAAAGTTTGAGATCAGCTGAGTAGAGATGATGACCCAACTTTTCCTACCAGCATAGTCCCGAAGTGGTGGGGGCTGCAGAACTTCATGGGGGGAGTCAGTGCGGCCAGGATGTTGCCTGAGCAGCTCAGAGTTTTGGGGGAAAGTTTATCTCATTATCGGTAGATAAAGTAGGCACAGTTTCCCAGGCAGGTGAGCTCTAAATTAATGAGGGTCTACAGATGCTGTGCATGTTGTGTGTATATATTAGTTTTTGTAATGAATAAAAAAAAAAAAAAAGAATATGGGTAACATCCATTAAGGAGAGTTAGCAATTAACATGCTAATTAGGGTTATTTTTGCAAACCTGTTAGTAATTAACATACTAATTAGGATTATATTTGTATATCTGTTTTAATCATGTGTACATTTATAGCGAATGCATTCATGTATTCTTTCAACATACATTTGTTGAGAATTTACTACATATACTAAGCACTGGATGATCCTAACATATAATCATTATTGGCTCCCCATTCATCCATTAAATAAACATTTATTGAGGACTTACCTATGGACACTGGGTATCATGAGCAAATCAGCTAAATATCCCTATCCTCATGGAGAAATATATTGTTGTATTGTTAATATACCAACAAAAGATGAGTAAAACATATAGTATAGGAGTAGAGTGACCAGCTGTCTTGGTATGCCTGGGACTAGGGGGTTACCCAGGATGTGGGACTTTTAATGCTAAAACTGGGACATTCCCAAGCAAACCAAGATGGTTGCTCACACTATCATCAGGTAGATATGAGCTATATAGGACACTAAAGTGGGGAGGGCCAGTTGCAGGGATGGAAGTACAACTATAAATAGGCAGTTGAGGCAGGCCTCATTGAGAAGATAGCATTTGATTAAAGACCTAAAGGAAGTGAGGGAGTGAGTCAGGCAGAGATGTAGAGGAAAAGCATTCTGGACAAAAGGAAGAGCAAGTGCAAAGGCACCGAGGTGGGAGCCCATCTGAAAGGTTCAAGGAACACCAAGGATATCAGTGTGGCTACGGGAAGAATAGTGGAGATGACATTAGAGAGGTATTAGGATACCCAATCATGTTGAGCCTTGTTGGCCATTGTAACAACGCTGAATTTTACCCTGCATGAGATGGGAAGCCTTTGAAGAGTTTGAGAAGAGTGACATATCTGATTCATTCATGTTTCAGCACATTATTGGCTTCTCTACCCACATTCTACTCCCATTCTACCTACATTCTTTGAGAACAGGTGCAAGGAACAAGGAACAAGGATGAATGCCCAGAGAGCAGTTAGGCAAGAGATGATGGCTGGTCCACATGAGTGTGGTAGAGGTGATGAGAGGTGAAATTCTAGGCATATTTTGAGGGCAAAGCCAGTAAGATGCTAGGAGATTGGATGTTGGGTGTAAGAATCAAGGTGATAGCATAGTTTTTGCCTTAAGTACCTAGAAAAATGAAGGGATCATTACCTCAGATAAGTGGAGCAAGTTTGGGATGGGGAAAAATCAGGATTCCATTTGGGGTATTTTGACTTGACATGCCCAGTAGACAGCTGAGTGGGATGTTGTGAAGGACGGTCTGAGTCTTTAGACCACCCCCCCTCACCACTATAGTCAGAAACTAGAGAAGGATAGCCAAAGAAGGGAAAACCAGAAGAGTGTGGTGGTCTGAAAGCCAGGTGATGAGTGCATATCAGGGAGGATGGAATTGTCAACCATGCCAGAGAGTGCCTGGTGAACGGGAGATTTAAGTGTTCCATTTAGCAACAGGGAGGTCATGGGTGACCTTGAAAAGATCAGTTTCAATGGAGTGGTGAGGGCAAAAGTCTGATTATAGTATAGAATGGGGGGAAAGAATTGTAGGCAGCAGGTGTAGACAACTGTTCCAAGAAGTTTGTCATAAAGGCAGTAGAGAAATGCAACAACGAAATAGAAAGGGATGTATGGTCCAAGGAGTCTCTGTTAAGATAGGAGAAATTACAACATGTGTGTTGAGATGGCAATGATGGATTACAGAGCAAAATTGTTGATGGAAGAGAAAGGGGTGTGCTAGGTGAGATGTAAAGGGGGTCCAAGTGACAAGTGGATTTGGTCTTGAAATAGGAACATGGAAAGTTCATCCACAGTAAGTTTGGGAAGTTTGGATATATGAGCACATATCCTAATAGTTGGAGCTTGCAGAGATTCTAGTTCTTTTTCCTCAGTAAAATAGGAAATAAAGTCCTTAGCTGAGACTGAGGAAGCAGAATATTTGAGGAGAGAGAAGGCAGGATATAATAGTCATCTAGAACAGTGAGAGTGAATGGACTTGGGGAACTGTAGAATGGCCAGCTGCACTAAGGACCCCCTTGAATTTAACTGGGACCTGTGTGTGTGTGTGTGTCTGTGTGTGTGTGTGAACATGTGCATATGTGGTTTTTTTCCCAGCCACATTCAGCTGCCAGGGGCAAGCACAGAGGAAGCTAAAAGTTGGATTTAGCCAGGGGTGAGGTTTTACCAGGCAACTATGACAAAGTAAGGAGAGAGTCAAGGGAGTTGAGAATGCATGGGAAGAGAGTGATTTTAATGATTAACAATAAAATGTTTTTTTCCAACTTTCTATTAAGAAAATGTTCAAATGAACAGGAAAGTTGAAAGAGCAGTCCTCCCATTCCCTGCCCCACATGACATTGATCTTTGGAAGAGACCAGGTCAATTGTCTTATAGGATGTTCCATATTTCCGAATTTCTCTCATTACATTATGGTGTTACTTAACATATTACTCCATTCCCTGTATTTCTTATAAACTGAAAATTATGTCTTAAAGCTCAGTTTCATTCAGGTTAAACACTTTTGTAATGATACTTCCTTGGTAGTTTTGGGCACTTCATATTGCATCACATCAAGAGACAAGGAAAAGTTGTCCCTCTATAAGGGATGTTAAATGTGATCATTGGGTAGGGTAATTATAGGCAGATCTCTCTGTTATAAAGATCGTTTTTCTCTTGCAGTGACTCCAGTATTTAAGCTGGGTAAGTGAGGCTATTAGAGGGACAAAGGACAGGGGAAAGGCAATGGAATCGATGGACCATAAGTCTCAGGCACAAAATAGGTCTACACAGGCAAGTACTTTTAAATGTTTGGTACCAATTATTCCATTAGTTTCTCCTCCATATTTCTAGTACTTACCACTCTTGAACCCAGCCACATATGTTAGTCCTTTTTTTCTTTTTTGAAGATTGTATTTTTTAAATTTTTTATTCTTTTGAAGATTTAATTTTTAAGTAACCTCTACACCCAACATGGGTCTCAACCTCACAACCCCAAGATCAAGAGTCCTATGCTCCACCAACTGAGCCAGCCAGGTGCCCCTGTGTGAGTCCTTTAAATTCAGAACTGAAGGTGGCTTCCTCCTCACTACTTAAGAACTTCCTCTGGCTACTTTTCATTTTGAATAGACAATAGGTTTGCCATCTTTGGCAATGTCTTTTGACTTCAGTCATGTTTAAAGAAGAATAATGAAGGGTAATGGGGGATACAGGCTCCCAGTTATGAAGTGAGTAAGTCACAAGGATGAAAGGTACAGGATAGGGAATACAGTCAATGGTACTGTAATAGCCCTGTATAGTGAGAGATAGCAGCTACACTTGTGGTGAGCAAAGCATAATGTATAAACTGGTTGAATGACCATCTTGTATTCCTGAAACTAATGTAGCACTGTGTCAGCTATACTCAAATAAGAAGGAAGGAAAAGAAAAGAAAAGAGAAGAGAAGAGAAAAGAAAAAGAAAGAAAGAAAGAAAGAAAGAAAGAAAGAAAGAAAGAAAGAAAGAAAGAAAGAAAGAAAGAAAGAAAGAAAGAAAAAGAATGGCTCCAGTTACCATACAATTTACACTACCCACTATCTTTTCTGAGCTTGGGGACTCCCTTGGTCTCTCTTGAGTGGTAAGAAATCTTTACTCTTCCAGTCAGTATAACATCTCCCTTAACTGGTATTACAGGCTGGCCCCCAAGGCTGGAGCAAGGTCTCTACTGTTTTGCTGAATGCCCTGAGCACTCTGGGCTGGAGTCCCTAGTTCTTCACCAACTTTCTTTTCTTCACTTTCTTGATTTACTCTGGTTAGATAAAGCCAGCCTCCTTTTGATCAAGGACTTGGTTTTATGCTCACCTGCAGCTGGTCACTCTTCTCCTGCAAGGTGTATCACTTCCGTCTTTGTCCGTTGCCAAGTCCGAGCCTCTGACTCAAAAATCACTGAGATGTTGGCGCCCCCTAAAGAACACATTTATGTTTGAAGTTAGCTCTTTATTAACTAATACACATTTAGTTGGGTTAAAGTCTGGGGTCTCTTGTTCTCTTTTTAAAATTGATTAGTAATTCTTCAAATTAAATGGACAGGTTAATGTGGTTAAATGCAGTATATAAAAGCCCTAGGGGTCAGAACAGAAAAAAAATAGTGTTCTGTTTTACCTCTGAGCACTTAAAATTTTTAGATATGAATTTGTGAATAAAGAATGTACAAATTACTTACTTTCTGCTGTCATTATAGCCTAAAGTAGGGGAAGGTAAGAGAAGCTAACGTCCTGAAATCTATTAATAAGCTTTTCAGTCCTCTCATAGCACGATTTTTCTATACAGGGCAAAATTTCATCTGTTTGTCAGTCAAATTAATTCTCTGGAATACAAACAGAAGCATCTGGGTTTTTGTTTTATTTTTGTTGCTAGGAAGAGAAAAAAACTTGTCCAAAACTCAGCGATCATTTGATGAACATCATCTGGAATCAATTCAAGAGAATATCTGACTTAACAGAGAGTGTTTTGATTTGAAAATAAGATATTTTTTCCTGAAAGAAATTATCTAGTGCATAATGTATTCATATAATAATTCTGCTTTCATTTCTTGACACTGCCATTATTTCAGGGTCTTTCTTTTAAAATTTAAATGGGACTATGGACCCATCATAAATGTGAGGATTAGGCTAATACTTAGCCCGCAGCCTAATCTACTCAGCCAGAGCACAGCTCCTTTGGCCCAATGTCTTCTTTGGGAACGTGTTTTCACAGGCATTAACTGAACAACCTCATTAAGGCAACGTCATCCTTTTAGGAACCAAGTATCAACCTTAAGAGGGAAGAGCAAGTGGTAAGATGGCCCCTCCAGCCCAATGTAAGAACGAGGTGCATATACCTATATATGTGAGTGGCCATTCTATATAATGGCCACTCCCCATCTCTAAGGGTTATGTGTTCAGAAACGCCCTATAGTAGGAGAATTTGCAGCCAAGAAACAAAATCTCAGTGGAGAAGTGGAGAGGAAGAACCAAAGTCACAATGAACATGGGAAAACTTGTATAAATATTAAGTTCACCAAAATAAAAAAAAAATAACAACAGCATCTAAAATGTAACACGGATATTTTATGTATTTTGAATTTGCATATTTAAGGCACCATTCTGTTACTTTTTTTTTTCCCTCTACCCCTCCCACACCAGAAAAAATGCCCAGGTTCTCCCTCCTTTGCAGTATCAGAGAGATGTTTATAAATATATTTTGCTTTCTTGCAATAATGTGCCTATTTTCTTCCTATTCCTCTGCTCAAATATTTAGCTCCTTTCTAATTTTATGATCTCTGCCTCTGAACTCCACTCTGATCTCAGAGACATGGAGTAATTTATAATCCTCAGGTAAAAAAAAAGCTTTGGGGGATCTATTTTAACTTACCTGGCAGACCTGAGTAGTTTAGTTCTCAGCCCCAAGGTCAAGGGTTATGTCACTTGAGGTCTGCCTACAATCCCCTCAGAGCATACATAGGTAGGCAACATTTATACACAGCCTGGCTCTGGCACTGTTAACATAGCCAAAAGTCAGACTCCTGACAGTTTACCCTGTCTCCCCTTTCTTCACACTCCCATGGTTGCATGCCGAAAACCTCTACGCCTCCTCTGCTAACCACTCTGCCCCTCTTTTTAATTCCCAAACCCTGCTCCCTTTTTCTATCTCCAAGAAAAATGGTGATCCATTTTGGATATACTTGAGTGGAAATTTTTTGAAGTTGCTAAAAATATATATGGAGAGAAGTAAATCTGCTTATGCTTACTATATCCTGAGAGAACTCTGTGACCCTGGGGACCCTGATGAGTCAGGATGGAATGCAGAGTCTCAGGATAGCTGCTGTCACCACCACAGAGAGCCTTCCAGGCCCAGCCCAGCCAGCTAAGGCCAGAGCCAGTAGTGCCCAGGAGATGTCCTTCAAGCCCAGAATGGTACCCACTGGAGGGGCCACGCCTGATGAGAGATTCTGAGGATAGGTGGTCTGAGGCAGAACTGTTGGTTCCAAACGGAAGAAGACTTTGGCAATTCCAGGAACTCCAGAATCTCAGGATTCTGAGACTCACTCCAGCAGGGGGTGGCACCATCCGGAGTGGGGCTGGAGGCTTTTGGGGCCCTCTGGTGGTGTGGAGGGCTCAGGTCCTCAAAGCCTTGCAGCTCTGGCCGCAGTAGTGGGTAGTATTTTGGTGACATGGAGTTAGAAAAAAAAAAGGGAAATAAGGAATGGTGTGTGTGTGTGCGTGTGTTCTATCTTTCGTGATGCTCAAGCAGGGAGTCAGTAGGTAGGAATATTTCAACTGGAGAGGGATGTTCTTATGCTAACAAACACTTACTCAATATAAATACTAGAATACCTTGCATTTATTTTTTTAAAAGATTTATTTATTTATTTTTAGAGAGAGGGAGAGAGAGTGTGGGTGGGGGAAGGGGCAGAGGGAGAGGGAGAGAGAATCTCCAGCAGACTCCCCGCTGAGCATGGAGTCCACTATGGGGCTTAATCTCAGGACCTCAAGATCATGACCTGAGCCAAAACCAAGAGTTGGATGCTTAAACGACTGGCACCCCTCAAATGCCTTGCATTTAGATCAACATGCATTTGCTAAGAGAGCCACCTGGTAGTCAAAATCATCACCATGAGTTCTCCTGACCCTTAAAAATTAACACCAAAGTTTGCTGTCTCTGCAGGTCCTCAAGTATGTTCCACATAATGAAGCACAGTCACTATAGCTCCCGATTTGGCAGCAAACTTGGACTGCAGTGCATCGGCATGCATGAAAACGGCATCATATTTAACAATAATCCAACCCTCTGGAAAGCCATTCGACCTTTCTTTACAAAAGGTAATCAGGTGCTGGTGACATTCTGCTCTTTTGTCAATAAATGTGCCCCCCACCTTTTCTGGAATTTAAATTCTGCTGCTTCACTTATTTTGAAATAATAAGATATAGTAGGCACTGTTCTAAGTACTTGATATTTTAATCCCACAGCAACCCCATGTGGTAAATATTCTTGTCACTTATATTTTACACATAAGAAAACTGAAGCTTAAGTAAATAGGTTAAGTAACTTAACCCAAGGTCCCCAAATTAGTAAATGGTGGCCCAGAAGACAACGCCAGTGCCTACATTTTTAATCACCACAAACTCTGTTCTTCCTGTTGATGCACAAAGCAATTCCATGGACGTGAAGAAGAGATAGAGCTCTGTACTTAGGATCATTTCAATTAAGAATTTAGTGTGTCAGTCACATGTTTGATTCAAACATAGCTAAACAATGTGTTTGCTGAATCATTTACTGACATCACAGATGTTTTAACAGGAAGCAATTTGCAAATAAAATTAGAGATTTTAGAACTAGGAAGGACTATATATATCATCTCATCCAGTCTCTGAATTTTATAGTTGGGGAAATGCAGTCCTAGAGAGGTTGTGATTTTTGCTCAGACAACATAACAAATAATAATGAGCAAAGATCTGATCCCAAGGCTCCTTGACTAGTGATTTCCCCCTTTACTGTATTTTGTTGGGAATGAAGTAGTTGGGGAATATACATGACCAGTCTTTGACATCAACATCAAAGAAGATAATCATGTCCTGGAAACACTGTCAGTGATAGAATCTGGGGCTAGATGGATCTTAGGTCTGACAGTGCAATATTCTTCCCTCTAAGCCAGCCTCTGTAGTGAACCTGGATGCCTCCCATGTGGCTACTGAGAAGCTATGTCTGTCCCAGCTGAGCACTGATTCTCTCTACAGAATTGCCCATTACCAAGATTCATACAACTCTATTATAGACTCCACTGTATTTGACTCCTATTGCTGCTGTAACAAATTGCCACAAACTTAGTGACTTAAAACAATACATCGATTAACTTATAGTTCTGTAGGTCAAAAATTTGATGTGGGTCTCAATGGGCTAACATCAAGGTGTTGGCTGGGCTGTGTTTCTTTCTGGAGGCTCCAGAGGAGAATTTGTCTTTTCCAGAGGAGTTTCTTTGTCTTTTCCAGCCTCAGAGGCCACCTGCATCCCTTGGCCTATAGCCCCTTCCTCTGCCTTCAAAGCTAGCAACAGTGGGTCAAATCCTTTTCCTATCACGTCTCTCAGACCATCCTTCTGTCGTCATCAATTTCTGACTCTGACGTCAACTGGGAAAGGTTCTTTGTTTTTGAGGACTCATGTAATTAGGTTGGGGCCACCCAGATAATCCACAGTAATCTCCCCATCTCAAGGTCCTTAACTTGAATCATATGTGTCAAGTCCTTTTTTCCATGTAAAGTAACATATTAATAGGTTCCAGGGACTAGGACCTGGACAGGTTTAGGGGGCTATTATTCTGCCTACCACTCGTGTTGGGGCAGATCAATCCTCTCTCATGCCTTAGAAAACTGCAGACTGGTTTAATGAAAAGAGTATAGGCCTCAGGATTATAGGTTTTGGGTTCAAGTCCTAGTTCTGCCACTTTACTAGCTATATGACCTTGGACAAGTCACTCCTCTCTGAGCTTCAGTTTCCTTCTCCACAAAAGGTGATAAAGACAATAGAACATTAATTCTAGGGTTATTATGAAGAATAAATGAAATAATGCTGTAAGATCCTACAGAAATGTGGTTTTTTGTTTGTTTTTGTTGAAGTATAGTTGACATACAGTATTATATTAGTTTTAGGTGTACAACTTAGTGATTCAACAATTATACATGTTATGAAACGCTCCCCATGATAAGTGTAGTCACCATCTGTCACAATACAAAAATGTGACAATATTATTGAATATATTTCCTATACTGTACATTATATCCCCATGACTTATTTATTTTATAACTGGAAGTTTGTACCTCTTAATCACCTTCACCTATTTCACCCATCCCCCCACCCTTTCCCTTCTAGCAACCACCAGTTTGTTCTTTGCATTTGAGTCTATTCCTTTTCATTTGTTTGTTCATTTGTTTTGTTCTTTAGAATCCACATATAAGTGAAGTCATGTGGTATTTGTCTTTTTCTGTATGACTTATTTCACTTAGCATAATACCCTCTAGGTTCATCCATGTTGTTGCAAATGACAAGATTTGAAATGTAAGGTTTTTTTTACTTTGCGGTTTGGCCTAGGCACATTAGGAACATGTGAACTAGTATTTAGGAGCAGTTAACTCTCACATACCAACATCCTCTACCTTGCCATGCAAAAATTAATAGAATTTTTAAACTTTTTAGATTAATAGAATTTTCTAAACTCATCCATTTGTTTAACAAACTACTGTGTTCTTATCATTGAACTAGGTACCTAAAATACAATGATAGTCAAGACATGGTCCCTGCCCTCAAGGAATTTATAATAGGGGGAGGGACAGAGTGGCAGATCAATACATTACCAAATATCATCCTAGGTGATGTGTTATGCTAGAGGTGTGTGCAGAGTGTTAGAGGGCACAGAAAAAATGGGCCATCTAAAGTATCCTCAGGGGTCATGGGAGGCTTTCTGAGGAGTGGATGCTTACAATAAGTTTGGAAAGAAGGTAAAAGCTACCTACATTAAGAAAGTTTGACAAGAATGCATTCCACAGAAGGAAAGAACAGGGTACTCCAAGACAGAGAAGGGTAGATCAGCACTGTATGTCCAGGGAACTAACTGTAAGTAGGCCCTCATGCCTGACATGGATACATGTAGGCATGAGGCCAAGGGGAAGGCACTGAACTGAGTTTATCTCAAAAGCTACAGTAAATCATTCAAGATATTAAGCAGAATGACATGAGCATATTTGAGTTTTAGAAAAATTCCTCTGGTAGCAGAATGAACGATTCATTGACAGAAGGCACGATTGTGAGCAGTGAGAACAATTAGGAGCTACTGCAGTGATACAGGGTGGATGGAAGGGAAGTCATCAGTGTAAGAGATGTTAAAAGAGTACAATCTGGGGCACCGGGGTGGTGTGGTCAGTTAAGTGTCTGACTCTTGGTTTTGGCTCAGGTGGTGATCTCAGGGTCATGATCTCAGGTCATTATATCGAGCCCCGAGTCAGGCTCAGTGCTCAGCACGGAGTCTGCTTAAGATTCTCTTTCCCTCTCCCTCTGTCCCTCTCTGCTACCCCTCACTCCCTCTCTCTAAAATAAATAAATTAAAAAAAATTTTTTTTTAAAAAGAGTAGAATCTATGGCACTTGGAATCAATTAAAAAAAATCTTTTTTAAAGATAAGCCCTATATATATAGATCAGATTTTCTAATAAAAACATTACAAAACTACTCAGATTAAATGCCAAAAAAGAGGTCTACAAAAAATAATAGAAGTCTAATTGCTTATTAAAAGTTCCCTGTTGTGTCTGACATTTTTAGTAATCAATGAGTTACAAGCATTTCTCTTCTTTTAAGATTTTATTTTTTGAGAGAGAGAGAACATGAGTGAGAGGCAGAGGGAGAGGGAGAAGCAGACTCCCCGCTGAACAGGGAGCCCGATGTGGAACTCGATCCCAGGACCCTGAGATCATGACCTGAGCTGAAGGCAGATGCTTAACTGATTGAGCCACCTAGGCGCCCCCCAAGCATTTCTTGAATCTCCTTTTAGAGTTATGTTTCTCATTAGTTTTCCTGATATAGTAGAAATTTGGGGGTATGTTTTGGTATCTAAAGTAGTAACATTAATGAAGGCATTGATTGCCTGGGTGTATCTATGGAGACATAGTGAAGTGCAGCCTAGGCAAATGGCCCATCCTGGAGAGATGAAGGTGGAGGGTCAAGAAATAGCCTCTGTTTCCTGAAACTGCCAAGAGAGTTGTCCATAGTGAAGGAATTATGCTGATTACTTGCTCACTTTTTTAAACCTGGATAAGATTCAGTACTTTTTCACACATTTTAAAAATTAAAATTATATCCACATCATGCCACTGCCTATAAGCAATGATACTACATTTTGCTTACACGTTTGAAACATGGCTTCCAGCTCTAGGACGATAGGGACAAGTCATACATCAGTCTGGGAGGAAACCACCAGTGATATTCGAAGCCAACCCTTCCACACAAAGTGCTGAGTCATTAAGGGATCATGCGTCCCACCTGTGAATGTGATAGTCACCCAGGAAACAACAGCCTGGCCTTTCATATTGGCCAGGTATTTCCTACAGTCAGAAAGTATGCTACCAACGCAACCTTCCTTTTTACATATAAGTAGAAATCTTAAGAATCTAGAACTGCTCACCAGGCTTCCTTTCTTATTTGCAAAGTCTGCCTTCAGGGGCTTCTGTTGTGCAACTGATATTTTTTTTTTTTTTTTTAAGAAAGAATTATGGCTACAAATTTCCCCAAGATTTTTCATTGCATTTCAAGAACTGACTTTAACAGTAAGTCTGAATAATAAAATACACAAATAGGAGAGATAACTCTTAAAGAAAGCTTAAAAAAACATAGAACAAAGAGAGAAAGTAGGGCTTTAAGAGTTAAACTCTCTAGATAGATCACCTACCACCACGAACCACTAGCTGCCCAGATGATCTAGAGCAGAGCCAATTCACTCTACCTGTCTTTACTCATTTATTCACCCATCCTTTCATTCGTTCACTCCTCTATTTGACAAATATGATTTGAAGGCCACCATGTACTGTGGACTTGAAGGACAGTGCTAATAGGAGGTTGTCACTGCCCTTCAAGAATTCCCAACCAGTGGGGAAGACAGTATGCAAACAAAAAAATTGCTTAATTGTCATGACCTTGGTTGAGTAAAACAAATCTAGAAGTAGTTTGAGGAGAAACCGAAATTAAGAACCCTTTTGATAATTTGTGAGACTAGCATTTTGAACCACATAAACCACAATTAAACAGGAAGCACTTTAGATCAAATAGTTAAGGTCCAGTTTGAGTAGTTCGATAGCAATACCCTGCCACCTGTTGAAACATAAGTATCTCCCTGGCCAAATCCAAACCTTCTTTAGGGAAATATATATACAGTAAATATGGAAAACCACTGATGTGTGATTCATGACCGCAAGTACTAAATGTTTCATTTGCAGTCTCACAAATGATTTTCCGTAACATGAAGAAGAGTTTAATTTTGAATATTTTGTTTAAAATAAGATTTTTATTCATTCATTCATTCACTTTTACCCATAAAGGTGATGCATGTTTGTAGAAAATTAGGAGAATGCAGAAAAGTATAAAAAAGAACATGAAAATTTCTGCCAAGTTACTGAATAAAAAATCATGTATAATTAAACTCCAAACAGAAAAGGCCAAAATAACCTGATTGTGTGTGCCCCTGAGTTCATGTGACTCACTCTCTGATGTGTTACCCTCAGCTTTGTCTGGCCCTGGCCTTGTGCGCATGGTGACAATTTGTGTTGGATCCATCATCACACATCTGGACAGGTTGGAGGAGGTCAGCAACGAATTGGGTTACATCGACGTGTTGACCCTCATGCGGCGCATCATGCTGGACACCTCTAACATTCTCTTCCTGGGGATCCCCTTGGACGGTACTTGAGAATTGACATTCTGCCCTTTATTGAACAAGGGGATGAAGGGGATAAGAGACTCAAGGAAAGATAATGCTGTTTTTGTACATTGCTCTTGTTCAAACATCTCTAAGTATTCTTATGATTTTTTTTCTAGTGTGTCTGCCTTGTTCATTTATAAGACAGAAGTTTCTGTAAGTAGGGGCCATCTCCTCTTTTGTATCTCTCCTCATTGCTCTGGGAAATATGATTCTACCCACAGTCAAAACTTGACAAATGTGATCAGTTCATTTGGCCATGAATACACCCTACTACCAATCAAACTGATAAATTTAACCAATTCCAACCATTCTTGTGGGCACATACACACACACACATGCACACACACAGATATACATACATACATATGTACATAAATATACATGTACCCTCCTCCCTCAAAGCTACTAAGCATGAAAACTTGGTCTCTGTCTATACAATGATAATGGTGCTGGTGCTGCTGGAAATGATGAAAATAGCTACCATTAATTTAGAATCTACTATAAAAAAGTTGCTTTACATATAGTTTGTCACTTAGCATTATAACAACTCTGGCAAGAATGTCCCACTCAAAAAGCTACTCCCGTCACTATACTACAGAAACAAATATTAAAACATATACATGCAACTCTATCACCATCAAAAAATAAACAATCAGTTGGGTTAATTCCATGCTGCTATTGTCCAGCTTAATGTAATTTTCCCTGAATTCTAGCATGTTCACTGACTCATGCATTCATTCAAAAAATATATTTTTTAAAGATTTTATTTAAAAATATTTGCTAATTGCCTATTTTATGCTAGGCACTGTTCTAGGTTCTGGGGATTGAGCAGTGAACAAGACAGATAAAGTCCTTGCCTTCATGGAGGTCACATCCCAGTGGCAATATAAACAGCAAACAAGTAAATATCTAATAACACATCAGGCAATACTAAGTGCCCTGAAGAATAAACGAAGCAGGGCAAGGGGATAGGAAGTGAAGAAGGAGGGGGAGTGGGTGGCTATCCCAGAGAGAGTTGTCAGGAAAGGCCTGCACAGGGAGGACACCTGCACATCAGCCTAAATGAAATGAGACCAGGAGCCACATCCGGGTTTGAGGGAGGGAACAGCACCTCATTTTAACACTGGCCCAAAGGAGCTGAGCTATAACACCTGTTGCCTCATTGGCCACATTTGGAAGAACAGACAAGCTATAAGCCCTCCTTTTCTCCTCTCTAGCTCTGCTTACCTCATGTCCCCGGCTCTTTACTTATTTCCTACAAGAGTCACAGAAACCTCATCTGACTGCCATTTGAATGGGAGCCCCATTCAACTCTGAGTATTTTTAATCACACCCCTTGCCTCATCCCCTTCAGACAGAAACTCTAATCCCAGCTGGCCTATTCTACATGCAGCTCTCCCAAAGGTCAGGCAAGTCTGTATTTTATTAGTCCCTGCTTCATGGTCCCCGGCTGGCCTCTTAGGAAGGATGAAGTAACAGAATTGTAAATCTCTCTGTTAACTTAGGGATGCAGGCTGTGATGCTAAGAACCTGCATAACCCATGCAGAGTACCTTGATTCCTCTTCTCCACACCCTGTCCTGGTTAAACTCTCCATTTGCCTAAGGGAACCAGTGCAACAAGGAGAAAGAACATTGCTCTGAGGTCAGATAGGCTGGGCTCCAGACTGAGGGCCTGCCTGCCACACTGGCTGCGTGGTGTTAGGCAAGCTTCCCAAGCTTCCCTTTCTACGAACTGCAGTTTCTTCATCTGAAAAAGTGATGACACTATATCACTCCCCTAGCAAGACTGTAAGGATTAAATGAGGTCTCTTCTGTAATGCGTTTTGCATGGTGACTGGTATTTAGCAGTTGAAAAGAAACGTCTGTTCCCTTTCTTTTTGTAAAGTTTGAAAAAAGCAGGGGTTTTGTTTCCCTAAACATGCAATTTAAGGACGTTCATTAGGAGCTGACAATGCATGAGGCTCAGGACAAGACATTAGGGATACTAAGATGAATTCTATACTCTGGACCAAAATGTAACCAGAAAAGTGGCATGGCTTTTTGCCCTCGCAGGTGCCAGAATTGAGGCCAATAACAGCCATAATTCCTGGTGTCCTTCTTATTTCCCGTCGTCAAAAAAAACAGGAAGGAGTTGGACACTCAGTCCAAGAGGGGCATGTGAGATTCTAGGCTTTGCCTCTAACACAAACTTGAAAAGTGGCAAATCTCTAGTTAACTTGGCTGATTTAGATGTCAAGCAGAATAAATTAATGTTGATTTGTCTAGTGGCATTCATATGGCTGAAACACCCATTGTAGCCCAGGCTGGTAAGAGACTCTATACAGGGGATCTTCTCTTCTCAGGATACCCTTCTCGGGCTCACATTTTTGCTCAACTACTCTGCTTTTTTGTTTGTTTGTTTTTCCAGAAAGTGCCATCGTGGTTAAAATCCAGGGTTATTTTGATGCATGGCAAGCTCTCCTTCTCAAACCAGACATCTTCTTTAAGATTTCTTGGCTATACAAAAAGTATGAAAAGTCTGTGTAAGTAACACAAGTTTGGAAAACTTACCAGTGAGATTGGATTGACTTTGGGTTGTGTCTTTGCTATTGCTGGCCTCTTCAGCTAGCTTTCTGCTCTTCAGAACCCACAGGGGAGCTGTGGATTAAGTTGCTGATGAAACACTGTAAGCAATTTGGCTGCATGCGGTGGCCAGACCCAAGAGTAAGGGAAGCGTTGGGCCCAGGCAGCTTTTCAACAGGGGGCCAAGTGGGTGGTCTGCGAGCCCCATGTCTGGAATTAGGACACCACAGTGTAGTTTGAGTTGAAGAGAAGGGTTGGCTGAACCTATCATTATTATCTGTAAAAATTCTCTTTTCATATCTGGAAAATGGAAACACAAAATCATTTTATAGTCATGTTGCTTCTGAATGAACTTAACATAATTCAACTTGTAGGAATTAACAGTAGTCTCAAAAGAATTTTTTCACAATGAATATAATGGACTTCAATAAAATGTGTGATTTCCTTTTTTTTAGTCATAGATAATACTCTTTGGGGAATCCTGAAACCGTCATTAATGACTTTGCTTTGGTTATAGATGAGTCTAGACAAAAATTGGACAAATGCCCAATGGCCTATAGACTAAAAAATAGGTTTCTAGAGTTTAAGCCAGCCACTGAACACTACCCCCTCTAACCACTAGTGAAAAGCCTACAGGATTTAGAGACAGACAGACATGGTTTATATCCTGTCTCTACCGCTTAGTAACTAAATGGCTTTGGGAAGTTATTTAAAGTAAAATTTAACCTACCTTCCAGAATAGAGATATAGATTAATGAGATCCTATACACAGGGCAATTAAGACAGAGGACGGCACATGGAAGGCGCTAAAGATGTTAGTTTTCTCCTTCCCTCTGTTCGTATCTTCTCCTGGATGTCCCTGATGATCTTAAATTCTCCATCTCTAAAAGTTCCCAACTTGTGCAAAGACCCAACTTTATCCTGTTTGTGTATTTTGAAATTTAGTAACGTTAGTCTCCAGGAAGGAAGCCAACTTGATGTTGCTTTATATATTCCCATGTGGTTCGTGAGTATTAGGTAGGTGATTTGGACACCTGGGTCTTTATACATTTCATTTAGTTTCCACCAGACCTTATTGTGACTTGAATCAATGAGATGAAGGATTCATCTGTTCCCTATGTTCAAATGTGGCAGTGGTCTGAAGAGTCTCATTTTATAGTTCCTGGTCATTAGTATGGCTTTGGTTTTGGCCAGCAAGCCCACTGAAACTTATTGCATGAAACTGTATAATGGTTTCTCTTAAGTTTCTATAGAAATTAGCTCCGCAACTCTCCCTCTGTATATAATATTTGCCAATGGTCAGTACATTAATCTATATCTTCTATATCCTAGAGCGGTAAAGACTTCGAGAAATCTTTTAATCTCCTCTCCCATCCATGTCCATTGCAATAATGTCAATGTTTTTTTTTTTTAATGAGGTATAATTGACATAAAACATTATATTACTTTCAGGTATACAAACAACATCATGACTCAGTATTTGTATATATTGTGAAATGATCACCATTATATCTAGTTACAAAACTTTTTTCTTGTGGTGAAAACTTTTAAGATCTATTCTCTTAGCAACTTTCAAATCTGCAATACAGTATTAACTATAGTCACCATGTTGTGCATCATGTCTCCACGATTTATTTATTTTATAACTAGAAGTTTGTACCTTTTGACTCCCTTCAGGCATTTTGCCCAGTCTTACCCCCACCCCCACCTCTGGCAGCCACCAATCTGTTCTCTGTATCTATGAGCTAGAGTTTTTTTTGTTTTGTTTTAAGATTCCACATATAAATGAGATCATATACTAGTTGTCTTTCTCTGTCATGCCAATACTTTTTAGAAATATACTGATGGAAAGGATTCTGGGACATCTACTCCCATCCCTATTTATTCGATTTTATACTTCTGCCTGTCTTGATTCCCAATATTACAGCAATATTGTTTTCTACTTTTTATTCTAGCAAGTTTAAGGCTTTTTAGCCACAGAATACCTTAAATAGGTGTTTGTGGCCTGGACTGATAACCTAGCCACCCTTGTTTGCGTGAAAAATACGCTCAGAGTTCCAAAACACAGACTCACAGATATATTCTTATAATACATGCTTGTAAGTCAGATTTCCTATTCCCTGAAGACTGTCACTGAACTCAATTCTCCCAGTTTTTAAGGGCATATAAATTCAGATGCATACATTAACCTGAATAAGGAGGATCCCAATGGGCATTCACAGACCCCCAATTCTGGCCCAGGGAGGAAGTAGATGTTCAGAAGTGGCTGTAGTTCCATCAAGGAATTCTCCATGAATTTATAGTCTTAGGGCATTTCAACAACTCCTAGACCATTTAGGGGCCATTGCTCAGGTAGGAATGCTACGAGCATTCACAGCCCACCAACTGAGTGAATATCCGTCCCTTCTATGTAAGAGTTTCAACAAATATTTGCTGAATAAATGGACTGGTAGATGAATGAATGAATGTGAATATATCCTTCGTGTATTCCTGGCGGTATGTATGTATCTATATTCACACCTACAGAGATACACAATAGATGGCACCCTCATTTTGAGTGACACAATTACTATACTAGCCTGAAGAATACCTCTTCAAATGTTTAAACACCTTCCTTGAGGGACGCCTGGGTGGCTCAGTCAGTTAAACGTCTGCCTTCGGCTCAGGTCATGATCCCAGGGTCCTGGAATCGAGTCCTACCTCAGGCTCCTTGCTCAGTGGGGACCCTGCTTCTCCCTCTGCCTGCCGTTCCCCCTGCTTGTTCTCTTTCCCCCCACCCCGAGAAATGAATAAATAAAATCTTTAAAAAAATAAATAAATAAACACCTTCCTTGAGATGCCCAAAAGAAACTTTAAAAAGTGGGAGGAATCTTAAAGAATCTTCCCTTACTTTTCTTACTGCACTGGAGTAAACATAGAGGCTATTCATGTCAACATCATCAACACGGTGTACAGGTACCATGTCAACAAAAATTTCAAAGAAAGATTTATTGTACATTTAATGTAATGCAGAATACCATTCCCTGAGATTAGGGGACAATACACTTACACATGGAGGCATACACTTTAAGACAAAGGCAAGAATAGCAGAATCTAGATCTTAAGATGAACTTGTTCACTGAGTCTGAGCCCTTCCCTTTAAAAGAGATGAAAGAGATGTAAAGTAGGTTACATAGAAAGAGAACGATCCGAACTAGAACCTGACTCTCTCTTTCCAAGGTGCTCTTCCCTCTACTACACTGTCAAAATGCATATGCTATACATACTCATGCGGATAGTCAGTCACTATATATCTACTTCATGTTTACTATGTGGCAGAAACTGCAAGGTACAAGAATAAATATCAAGAATAATACTTGATCCCTTGTGCTCACTTTCTAGAGTAGGAAATCTCAAACTCAATTGTTTCTGGAGCTGGGCAAAGAGAAATGGGCTGGGTGGTTACAAGTCCACTGGAAGTGAAGGTGCCGGGGGCAAATTGGAGAGTGCCTGCCCCCACTGAAGACCTTCACTGGCTTTTGGTTTTGTTTTTCAATTTAGACACTGTACTGGACACATCAATAATCAGAAAACACGGCTGGATTTACCATTTTGGTACCAGCTTTTAACCTTTAACTAGAGGTTACAGCCTTTATTTTGCTGCCAGTACCTAGAAACCTTAGCTAAATTTGGTTCCTTAACATGAAGTATAATGAATATGTAATTTAAGGATCTTTATGAAGAATTAAGTTTAAATTCAGTTATTCGTGAGTGCTAATGGCTTCAATTAAAGCAGATAATTTTATTTAAACAAATGGCAAGTGAATTCATTTTTCTAGATGTCTTAACTGACTACAGATAGATTATATTTTCACTTTTTTTTTTTAGCAAGGATTTGAAAGATGCCATGGAAATTCTGATAGAAGAAAAAAGACACAGAATTTCCACAGCAGAGAAACTGGAAGACTATATGGATTTTGCCACCGAGTTGATTTTTGCTGAGGTACTGACCTGGATTAACCATAATTCCCATACAATATATGTACTTGACTGTGTGTAGGTTATGTAAAGACCCCCTCTTGTAATTGCTTCATACTTCTGCTTTTAAGTATCTGCTCTAGTACTTCTATAATGATGACCCAAAGAGCCCACTCATTAGACATTCTGGCAAAACTAACCTTTAAGACTGAAACTACTGTGTCTGGACAATACAAAATATGAAAATGAGAGAGCCCAGAGACAGTAAATACGTAGATAATTGGTTAAATTTTTCCTCTTTCAGCTGAAGACTACTATGAAAAATGTCCATAGTCAATTACAGAGATTTAATATTTATGACTTCATTTCATTGATGTTTTTGATCCCGACTGTCCCTTTCCCTTCTTTTTGGAAGCTTTGATTCACTTTTCCAATATTTCTCCCTTCTTCCAATTGTTCAGAAACGTGGTGACCTGACAAGAGAGAATGTGAACCAGTGCATACTGGAAATGCTGATTGCAGCACCAGATACCATGTCTGTCTCTGTGTTCTTTATGCTATTTCTCATTGCAAAGCACCCTAAGGTTGAAGAGGCAATAATGAAGGAGATCCAGACTGTTATTGGTAAGAACTGATCAAATAGTAATAGAGCTTTAGATAACAATTCCTTCTGAAAGTCAGCTTTTTATGTCCTAAGACTCTGATTTCAAACAAAATCTTTATTATAATCCACCCAGAGAACAATAAAGGTAGTCATTTTGCCACACTTGTTATGCCAGATAGGTTGCAAAGTTAGTTCCATTCTTACTGTGGTTTTTTTTTTCCATTATAAAAACAATGCATGCTCATTGAAACAAAATTAAATAACACAGAGATGTATAAAGCAGAAAGTGACATTCCCTACCCCTTCCACTCTCCTCACCAGCCTCATGTGCATTCCCCAGGGGGAACCACTGTTAATACTTTGCTGTGTATTCTTCAAGGTCTTTCTTGATGTGCACATAAATGTTCTGCCTACCTTACCGGGGCCAAATGCTTTTGTGGGTCCACCCAGGGAACTGGCTATCATCTCTGGCAGTGTTTCTGGGTTTCAAGCTGTCTGTCCACAAGTGAACTTCCAGTCCGTGGCAGAAGGACAAGGGGAGGATGACAGCAAAGGCAGGAGAGTGATCAGTTTCCCTCTCCCCCAAATCCAGTGATGCCGGACCCTTCTTGCCCCTGCCCTCTCCTCCTCCACCAGGTCCCTGCTCAGCTCTTCCCAACACTACGTTTTCCCTGCTCTGCCTTTCCCTGAGCATCATTCCGCCCCCTGCTCCTGACGCTGCCACCTCCTTCCACACAAACACCATCACATTGGAAAGAAATCACAATTGCATTCTGAGGGGAAAAAACCGAATTCCTTATTTGAAATGTCCTTCACATGGATAATCTTTTTTTTTTAAGAGAGAGAGAGGGCAAGAGAGAGCGCGTGCAGCTATCATGCACATGGGGTGGGTGGGGTTGTTGGGGAGGGGCAGAGGGGGAGGGAGAGAGACAGCGTGGAGCCTGAGGCAGGGCTTGATCTCACAGCCCTGAGATCACAACCTGAGTGGAAATCGAGGGTCAGAAGCTTAACTGACTGAGCCACCCAGGCGCCCCTACATGGATAGTCTTTTTAGGAACACATGTCTGACATGTGAGGAGATATCAGTAATGACATAGACTTTTCTCTCTTGACCTTATACAAAATCTCTGTGAAATGACTTATTTGGTTGTAGAGTGGCACCATTTTTTAAAGGCATCTGAGGGGCTCCTGGGTGGTTCAGTCGTTAAGCATCTGCCTTTGGCTCAGGTCATGATCCCAGGGTCCTGGGATAGAGCTGCGCATTGGGCTCCCTGATCCGCGGGAAGCCTGCTTCTCCCTCTCCCACTCCCCCTGCTTGTGTTCCCTCTCTCTCTGTGTCTTTCCCTCAAATAAATAAATAAAATCTTAAAAAAAAAATAAAGCCATTTGAGTGCTACTTGAAATAGTTGATAGTAAGGGGAAATTTCACAGAAGAGTTAAATACGTGAGAGAAAGGGTCTACAGATGTGTTGCTGTAAATGGGAAATTGCCTGGGAAGATAGATAGCAGGAAGCCAGAATAACATCCAAGCCCCAAATTCCAGAATGGTTTCTCATGTGCCCCTGTCAGGTTATGGGTTCTGGGTTAGGTGCAGGGACACATCAGTGACTAAGACAGAGCTATTCCTATACTTATGGGGCTCACAGGCTGGCAGGAGAAAGAGAACTTAACAAGCAAACCCAGTGGAGTGAAGAGTCATAGAATGAGGGAGTTCAGGCAACAGTGAGAAAATGCTCTTGAAACCATGAGCCTTTAATACAATTTCCTTGAGAGGTGAAAAGTGTTTGTGCCCCATGACGTCCCCCTGATACTTTAATAAACCTCTGCAAAGATGGAAAACAGCTGAACCATTTGTATGTGTGTTCGTGCTCCCTCTAGATACACACACACATTAATTACTTCCTAGGGAATGCCTCTGGTTACCTTCTCTGTCGTCTTCCCTTCTACCCCCTCACCCCAGATAAATGTACCCCCTTAGACCTTGAGTGTACAGAGAGCAGTATGCAAGGGGCAGGGCTGTTAGAGTTCTCTGACCAAATGAGATCCTCTCTGAATGGTGTAGTTGTATAGGGCTGCCTCAGGACCCTGGACTGATTTTGATTCTGCAAAAGTGGTAACCCATTCAAGCTGCTCTGAAACTTTGCCAATTCTGGGAGTAACCCAAGCCTCTCTGACCAGTGTCAGGCCAGCCTGAAACAGTGGGAGTATCTGTCAATCCCCAGGACACCCAGAGTTTAGCTGAGGCACCTATTTTGCTGTGGTAGGGAGAGAGGTTCTTGCCACTCTACCGCAATAGGTTGTTCTTGATGAGATGGAAGGAGGGACTCTCAGTGATGCGTTCCAGGCAGATGACTGCACAGGCAACCAGAGGAGAAAATTTCGTTGAAAGGGGTTTAATTCACCATTTCACTTTGACTAGAGAAGGAGTGAATGTCCCCTAGAATTTAGAGGAGGAGACAAATCTCAAAGACCTCAGAGGCCAGGCAGATAAATGTTTGAAGTAGACTGTGTAGGTCTACATATAACTGCAGGTGGATGTCCCTCTAAAGGGCTCATCGGCCACTCAAGTTCAGCCCGTCATTGCCATATAGGGATGTGGGTCCAATATCACCAGGTTTTCTGACTTTTCTAGAGATCCAGGCTTTTCCATGAAATCTCCTAGGTTTTATAGTAATTGGCTTCAAATCTGAATTTTTACAAAACACGCTGTGAACCAAATGACATATTTGGCCCAGGTTACTGGTTTGCATTAGAATTCTAGAAAAAAAAATTTGTTTTTTCAGCCAGGAGCAGACTGTTCTATGGAAACTATGGGAGTTTTAATGCCCATCACATATTGAAACTATCATTACCTCCTTGTCCTGTTTATCTGTTCCCGCAGGTGAAAGAGATGTAAGAATTGATGATATGCAAAAATTAAAAGTGGTGGAAAACTTTATCTACGAGAGCATGCGGTACCAGCCTGTTGTGAACTTGGTCATGCGCAAAGCCTTACAGGATGATGTCATCGATGGCTACCCAGTGAAAAAGGGGACTAACATTATCCTAAATATTGGAAGGATGCATAGACTAGAGTTTTTCCCCAAGCCCAATGAATTTACTCTTGAAAACTTTGCAAAGAATGTAAGAGCCCTTCCTTAAAACCAAGCGCACCACTCTTAAAAATGTCAACTGTTAAACCCTCTCCGGTTCTGTGTTTGCACCATGTACATTTCATTCAATTTACTTCTTCCCCTCTATGGCCTCCCCAGAAGAACATGTTTCCTCTGGCTCAGAACATGACTACCATATTCATCCTCAAGCCAAGGATGCTGGGTCTCCAGCTCTGAGAATTATCCACATGGTGCCCACACAATGGGTCAAAATGTGAAAAGTCCAGGCCCTTAATTTGGCTACCATGAGGCAAATGTTGTTTAACCCAACCAACCTACTTTTCCATTTCAACTTGTCACTTTGTAATCACATAGACTCAGCTCTAGCACCATCTAAGCAAAGGAAAATCCAGTTGTGCTTCAGATGGAAATCAAACGAGACCAAAAGATTTAGTTTTTGCAGTCTGCCTTTGGTTCACCAAATGGCCCCATGAACACTAGTTCCCATTCTAAATAGAATTCAGTAATCAGAAGAGCTTCAGCTTTTTCTATCATTGAAATATACTGTAGATTCTGCTTCAATTATGTCAAATTTTAGGCAATGATGTTAATTAACCAAAATTTTCCAGATATTTCCCTCACTGTTCTATTTTTCCATTTGCATCTAATGTAGAAACATGATCTTAATTAATCCAGTTCCCTAATTCATTCTGTTTCTATGTGAGCAACCCGTGCTATATTGACAACTGGTCAACAAAAACTTATTGAACATCTACTATGTGCCAGGTACTATGTAAGCACAGATGGTAACAAGACAGACAGATGTGGTCCCCATTAATTTTTTGCAGAACTAAAAATATTTGGATGCTTGGTGCTAATAGGCCAGGAGTCAACATCTTTGCACAGAAACAATCTTTGCCTTGGTGACATGCAGAAGAGTAGTAAAACTGTGGCCCATCCCACAGACCTAGTTGAGTATGATAACACTGGCTGTAATAAGATGATGTGTGTTGCTTTACCCCAGGAAATTTACGTGAAAAGCAAAAGTGGGGACTGTGCAAACTGGGCATATATCACAGGGGGTGAATTACATTGGATAAAGAAGTTACAGTCACTCATCTCAGTGAGGGGACAGTATGGTTTGGACCCTGTCACAGCGTTCTGATCCATCAGTGGTTTCAGGGTGAATCAGAGACTGCATGACTCTGGCTAACTGTCTGATCGTTTTCATAGGTTCCTTACAGGTATTTTCAGCCTTTCGGTTTTGGGCCCCGCAGCTGTGCAGGAAAGTACATCGCCATGGTGATGATGAAAGTCGTCCTGGTTACACTACTGAGACGATTCCACGTGCAGACATTGCGAGGAGAGTGTGTTGAAAGTTTACGGAAAAAATATGGCTTGTCCTTACACCCAGAGGAGACTAGCAACCTGCTGGAAATGGTTTTTATTCCAAGAAATTCAGAAAAGTGCCTCGAACACTAAAGAAGGCTGATCAGTACCTACTCTGGAGCATTTCTCATCAGGAGTTCACATAGAAATCACCCGTTCACCATCATGGTGAACATTCGGTGGCCTCTGCCATTTTATAGGCACGCCTCGTATGGACTGTCAGCAAGTCAGGAGATGTGGGTCATCTGTTCTTGTCCAAACCAGACTTCCAGAGAAAATAGAGGCTAAGAGTTTGCAGGGGAAATGGTCAATCCCACAAAACATGCTTTGGAAAAGATAGGCCACCAGCAAAACTTAGGTCCTCCTTCCCACAAAATCTCCACTGCCCTGCCCCAAGAGCATTTTAATGTCTGGGGCAGAAGCACTCAAGTCCATTGGAAAGGTCAGCCTGATGCTTGGGTACTTAGGGCCAAACATACCTGCTAATGTGAATAAAAGTGTTTTGATTTAGTTTTCAGTGGTAGGCTCCCCAACATTCATATTCTTTGGAGAACTGCTTACAAATTCAACATTTTACTTTTCCTATGAATTATTCAATTAACTCTTGATTACCCCCAGGTGACTTGCCTGTGGCAAAAGTTAAATAGGGGACTATCCTTTCCCAGTCTCTCAACTGGCCTCAGCCACTCACCTCCACTACAATAGATATAGATTCGGGTAACATAAAGTAACTTAGTAATAGCCTGAGTAAAATATTGTCAGGACCACACATCTGCTGTAGGAAAAAAAAATCACACAATGCATTTCAAATTCAAATAAAAATTCTTTCCTTCATGTTCACATCATTGCTTAGCTTCACTAGTGCTAACCAAGAGATAACTTTAAATAATGACATCTATTAACTCTTACAATGGCCCCAATGGTTTGAGGGAGGACAACTCCTCTACATTTATATCTAATTCCACAACCCAGCGGGTTCAAACCCATTCCATCTTCTTTCTCAACAGTTTCCCCCCTCTTTCTTTCCGTGATCCCGAAGTCAACAGCAACAGATCAGTAGAGAACATGGTCAGGGTAGAGGCTCTGCAATCATCTTTTATCCTACCTCGGATTTAATAGTTACCTTAGAGATTTAACAGCTGTTGAGTTTATTGAATCATTATACATAGCCATGGATAAAATGCACACCTTGTAAATTAGTTCTTTAAAGAGAATCAAGTATGGGACGCCTGGGTGACCCAGTCAGTTAAGCGTCTGACTCTCAGTTTCGGCTCAGGTCATGATCTCAGGGTCGTGAGATCGAGCCCCATGTTGGGCTCCGTCGTGCTGGGTGTAGAGCCTGCTTAAGATTCTCTCTCTCCCTCTCCCTCTGTGCCCCCTGCCCCGCTCTCGTGTGCTCTCTCTCTAAAATAAACAAATAAATAATAAAAAATTTAAAAAAAGAATCAAGTAGATGAGTTAATTTTCCAAACACCACTCCACTTGTGTTATATAGCCAATATGATTGTATCTACTGAATGCCATTTAGAAATTGAAAAACTCATTTACAAGTAAGTAAATGTTTGCCGTTGAGTCAACTGCCATCTCAACATTTGAATATTCTTTTCATCCTACTGTTTGGTAATAGGACAACAGCTGAGTATTAAAATGAGAGTGTAAGCACCTTGAGAGCAGGAGCTCTTTTCTTTCTTTTGTAATCCATCCCAATCCCCCATTCTGACTCCCTATATTTACTCTGAAGGAAGGATAGCTCTGAACAGACACTCTTGCTCATAGATAATCTACCTCGTCCCAGAATCCAAGTAAAGGGGAGGCAGGTATTCTAAGAATTCAAGGATAAGTATTAGTAAAGAAGGAAATATTTGAACTTGGCACTATATAGATCATTTATATGGCCTATACATACACAGAAATATGCCTATGTACCTGGATATATATCCATAGTCAGGTCTGGACAATCATCCAAATAATTCAGACCCTGGAAAGAAAGGCCGGGATTTTAGATGTAATGTATCCAAGTTAATTCACACACTTTACTTTGCCTCTTGCTAGAGCTGCACGGTAGAGGAAAACAGTTTCAGATCAGTATACTTCGCCCATCCAGTTCCCTTGGAACTTCTACTGTATTTTGTATATACATATGTAGCTGAGGCCTATGTCTACACAGTCAAAGTGAAATGGAAGGTTTATATAGTTATATAGAGACATTGTAGATATAAAAATATGCTGGGGAAAAGCTAGGGATGGGGGTGGGGGGCAGGGAAGGATAGGAAGAGGGGAAGTACTGGTTTGAATGATCCAAGCAAACTCCCGGAATCAAATTATCTGGGTAGTCATTCAACTTTTCACCTTGCTTGGTCTGTACTGACAAACCCCATACGTTTGTACAGGCTTTGCTTAAGGAATTTGGAATATCACTGACTTTTCATTAGGCCGATCAACATATATTTGAAAATCCTGTTTTCAGAATTTTGCCTCATTGTTATGTACTTAATTGTCATCTTGAATGTGCTGTGGATTCAGTTTTCACCAGTTTTCAAAGAAACTGTCAGTGAAATGCATGCATTATAAGGGCTCTATTATTGTGAAATCGTGAGGACAATTGTGCCCTCCTATCTTTAGGACTACTGGACACCCCCCATCTGCCTTCTTTGACATCCCACTCTTTCTTCTTCCAACTAGAAAATAATCCTATGCAGAATGTCCCACATATTGAGAAATGTCAGTTGGAAGTCGTCACTTTTATTTCTAAATAGCACCTTTAGTCACTCATGATGCTAATATTCCCATAAGTGTGTGGCATTGCCCCACTAGAAAGAATACTACTAGCTGGACCCTCCTCAATCTCCTGTATCAGCTGGGCTCTGTGACTGAATCTCTCACCCATACTTGAAGAAGGATTAAATTAAATTAAATTCTGTCAAAGTAATGAGTGATATGGAATTTGTGGTACTTTAGTTGGACTTAGCTCACAAAAAGCAAAGTCAAAGGCTGAGCTCTCCAGGGCTCAACAGATAGGGCCTGCCCTAGTGAACTCCCTCATTACTTTTCTGCAGCTTTTTGCAGATGTTGGCCTATATCTAGGAAGCCAATGGCCATACCTTGTTTCCACCAAGTCAACCAAACAAACATAATGCATTCACACAAGTCAACCTGGTCACCAAGCCCAGCCCATTAGGTATACTCTGCCCTTCCTCTTCTATCAAGAAAGCATTTTAAAGCATAAAACAAATGGGAATCATTATAAGAATATAATTATAAAAATTATTATAAGAATAACCTTGAATCCACTCTAATTATAACCAAATGCAAATGTTTCACAAACTTCAGTATTTTAATCTACAGTAGTCCCCCTTTACCCACGGTTTCACTCTGTGCAGTTTCAGTGACCCATGGTCAGGGAGAGGATGATCCTTCGGACGTACTATCAGAAGGTCAGCAGTAGCCTAACACTATGTCACAGTGCCTGCATCACTCACCTCACTTCTGCTCATCACGTAGTCATTTTATCATCTCACATCATCACAAGAAGAAGGATTAGTACAGTACAATAAGATCTTCCGAGAAAGAGTGAGACCACTTTCACATAACTTATTACAGTCTATTGTTACAATTGTTCTATTTTATTACTAGCTATTGTTGTTAATCTCTTACTGTGCTTAATTTATAAATTAAACTTTAGCATAGGGATGTTTGTACAGGAAGAAAACAGTATGTATAGGGTTTGGTACTATCTGCGGTTTCAGGCATCCACTGTGGGTCTTGAAATGTATCCCCCATGGATGAGTTGGACTACTGTATTAGTAAAATATTTCTTGGGATGAAGATCTGAAATTACAAGACTTGGAGGTTGAGCCTGTGGCCCAGTGGTTTTTTTAAGTTCCTTTCAGCTCTATTACACCATAAATAAGGAGGCACTGAGGCCAAATCTGGCCTCAGCCTTTTCTTAAATGCATAGTTGGGGCAAACTGTTCAATCTCTCCATACCTCAGTTTTCTCATCAATCCAATGGGGATAATAATTACTTCAGAAGGTTGCTGTGAGGATTATAAGGGATGATTCATGTGAAGCTCTTAGAACAGTGTCTGGTACAGGGCAACCTCTCAAAAACCATAGGCATAATAATGATGATGCTCAGTCGTTACGTTGACTCATGACACCCTCAATGCAGTAGAGAGGGCAGAAGATGTGTCAGATACTTCTACATCCATTTTCTCATTTTAAGCTTCATGACAACTCTCATGTTAGTATGATTGCCCCAGGAAGCCCCACATTGTATCCATGAGAACTGAGACCCAGGGAGTTTGGGACACTTACCCTCAAGTCCACCTCTCCTTCCAAAGCCCTAGGCCCCTTCATCAAGCTGCTTCTTTGCAACAGGACTCACTGCTGGAAGACTGAGGAGGTCAGTCCCGGTTTCCCAGCTCTCCCACCTTGTGATGCTAGGTAAACCCCTTTAGAGACCTGTCATTCCTTGCCTCCTTACCCAAGGAATCTGACACAGGAAACAGATGAGTTTCTCCATCCATAAAATCTGGATGATTCTGCCTTACCCACCCCCCACACAGGTATGTTTGGACAATCTTTCTCAAAAAAAAAAAAAAAAAAAGATAGTCCACGGGAAAGCGCTATAAAAATTCTCTTAGTATAAGGTGGGGGATCTAACGTGTGGATGCCAACATCTGCCTCAATAGGAAATTATCAGATGCCATTAGGCTATTCCCTAACCACTAGGAACATTTCTAGTTTTGCACAATTTCACTTCATTTCAGATGCGCACTGTAAAAAAAGGAGAGTGGAGGAAAAAAATAGTAATTTACTATAAACACACGGTGGGCAGGGCGCCTGGGTGGCTCAGTTGGTTAAGCGACTGCCTTCGGCTCAGGTCATGATCCTGGAGTCCCAGGATCGAGTCCCGCATCGGGCTCCCTGCTTGGCAGGGAGTCTGCTTCTCCCTCTGACCCTCCTCCCTCTCATGCTCTCTGTCTCTCATTCTCTCTCTCTCAAATAAATAAATAAATTTTTTTTTTCAAAAAAAAAAAACAAAAAACACACGGTGGGCAAACTGCACCTTATGATGGCCATAAAATCACCTCTATTTTGGCCAAACTGGAAAATGCTAAGAAGCCCACTATGATGGACAGCTGTTAAGCAATTTCTTCATTTGATAAGGATTCCAGATATGAATGAACTATTCAGTCCCTCATCTCATTATTTCTAAATAGTCAGGGGTTTGGCCTGGAGGAAATGCAAACAGACATAGTGCATACAGGCTTCCGCTGCTAGCCTAGGTAAGCTTGGATGGGTAAGAAGCAGAGCACATCACCCTTTTGCCTCCTTTCCACTCCAGGTTATTGTGAAAGTGTGTTTCTTCTTTCAGACCAAGAAAACAATAATGCCTGCATTTACTTTCTTATTCTATTAAGTTCTTTACTTTCTCATTTAATTCTCCCAACAATACTCTGCAGCAGGTACTATCCCCATTTCCAGAAAAATTCCCCCATCCATCCATTTATATTCCTTTGCTACCTGCTTGCTAGAGTTT